AACCAGACAAAACCCCGCCCCCACCCTTCCCCCAGCCACAGGAGCCGGAAGGGCAAAGAGAAGGAACGTCAGGAGCGGCTGGAGAAGGAGCGGCTGGAAAAGCTGAAGGCTCTTGAGTTATCTCAGCTGGAAGGGAAAGGTGCAGAAGAGTCAGCCAGAGGCCAGGATGTCAAGGTGCCCTGCTTGGACATCCAGGTGCTGAGATCAGAAGATGTGGCTAGGGCCATCCTGGAGAGCGGCAAGCTGCCGGTGGCAGAGCAGGTAAAGCCCTGCGAGGCGAGGCTGCTGAGCCTGCCGTGCTCTGGGCCCCAGTGCATCGTGTCCCACCAGGTGACAATGGCCCAGAGCCTTGTCCAGGCCACTGGGGATGTTCTGAGGTGACTCCATGGCAGCAGTGGGGCTGAGGAGGTTCTCACCATTCCTCGGATGGGTGAAAAGAGGGAGTACTCCCTGTTCAAGCCTCATGTCTATTCAGAGAGGTTCCCAGTCTGGAAATCATGTAAGATGGTCCCAGGGCAGCTCATGGGCATTGTTTTCTCCAGCTGAGTTACTCAGAGGAGAGGTTTCTCTCTAGGTTCCACCTGGAGGTCCTGGCACTGCTCTGCAGCCTGCCCACCCCCCTGGCCCATAAAAAAAAGGACCGTGCTCCATGAAACAAAACCATTACCCTAAGCTCAAGGCCTTTAAGGAAGGGTGAGGGTGGAGGTGACAGGAGTGCAAACAGAGTCCTTCTCTTGTGCTTTAGATCCTGGATGAGCTGGGACTGGGTCCCTCAGGGCCTCCAATTCCCCCCACTGCTTTTTACTCTGTGATCCGCTACCCAGAGGAGCGGGTGGCCCCTGCAGCAGGAGAAGCTCTCAAGCACTTCATCTTTGTTGCACCAGAAGGTGCCACTGCAGAGGAGGAGAAGAAGGACACCCGAAGTGTCGCTGAGACCTCTGCTGTGCCTGCGGTGAAGGTGCCAGGGCAGGGGCCAGGCTGGGTGGTAGGCAGGTGGGATGGAAAAGGGTCACTGTGGAAGGGCAGTGAAACTGTGGTGGGTTCCGGTGTCTTCAGGCATCCCTTCTGTCTGTTCAAAGGAGACAGCTCTGCTTGAGATAAGGGGGAAAAAATCACCTAAACCCCTCAGCTTCTCTTGAGGAGAGGGACCTCAGCAAGGAGGAGTCCTGGGCAAAGAGAAGGGTTACAGACAAAACAGATTCCTATAAGGAAGACCAAGTCCATGGGCATATGTGGTTGGTTGGTTGGTTATTCTCTCTCCTATTAACAAGCCAGCAGGTTTCTTTCCAGGGTGGGGATGTCTCAAAGCAGGTCTGACCCCTCTCTCCCTTTTCTCTCTCCCTATGGTGTGAAGACATGGCAAGAGGAGGGGCAGGTCACCCCAACCAAGGGCCGGGCAAGGAAGGAGAAAGCCACAGGCAGCCGGGAGGGGGTGAGGGAGAAGCAGAGCCCCGGCCGGGGCAGGAAAGGTCTCCAGGGACCTGGGATGGGAGCATCCACATGTCTCCCTGAGGTGGACCAAAGCAGCAGGGACACCATCCTGTCACCGAGGAGACCCGTCAGGTGAGCTAGGAGGGATGAGGTGATCGCTCTATTGGTTCTTCTGTTTCTTCTTCCTCTTGCCAAACAAGGTCTATGATCCCCAGCTCCACAGAGAGCCCTCTGCCAGTGCCTCCGTGGGATGGCAAGTCCATGACCCTGCTCCTTGTCCCGTTTGCTTGTTAGCAGTGTCTGAAGCCTCCTCTTTATCCCTGGAAGGGTTCAAAAAATGTGTAGATGTGGCACATGGGGACATGGTTTAATGGTCACGGTAGTGTTGGGTTGATGGTTGGGCTTGATTGTCTTCGAGGTCTTTTCCAACCTTTGTGATTCTAGTATCCTATGGTCTATCCCCAGGCTGAGCAGCTGCCGGTGGATAGTGCCTGCCCACGGCGAGGTGGAACTGAAGGTCCACTTCAGCTCCACGGTGCTGGGCCAGTTTGATCAGACGTTGCATTTTGAGCTCCTGGGGACAAACCGAGGGTACCAGCTGCACTGCAGGGGCACTTGCCTGTATCCCACCATTAGCCAGGACCCACGGTAAGGCTGACCTGTGGGAGATTCCTGCTCTGCTCCCCCCCGCCCCCAAACTCAGAACCAGGGCCTTGGTACCCCAGTGACCTCCTGCCTTGGGCAGAGCTGCTGCCTGAGCCCTCCCAGCATCTCCTCCCGTGCGTGGAGCTGGGAACCAGTACTGGTACCTCAGCCCCCAGTGAGGGTTATGGCTTTCTGAGTAGGTTTTCTACTTGGAGCATCTCTCAGCTCCACATCCCCTGTTGTCTCTCCCCAGGGTGGTGTTCCCTCACTGGAGGAAGAGCAAGGCAGATGATGACATCATCTTCAAGCAGTATGTCATGAACACGGGTGTGTTCCACTTTGGACCACTGCTGTGTGGGAAGTCAAGAGACTGGTACGTGTTGCCTGCCCCAGGAGAGCATCCTGATGGGTTACCTGCATGGAGTGAGATGTTGGGGTGGGATCTCCAGGGCTTTGTGCTTTCATGGACATGAAAAAATGTCTGAACTGAGCAGATAAGAGGCACACAAGTCTTGGAGGAGCTGAGGAGAGATGGAGCTGATCTTCTACCTGGTGGCTGCCTTGGTGGCCAGAGCCACATGCTGCTTCCAGCCTGAAGGTGACTTGGGGCAGCTTGTGCTCCCCCCTTCACATCTCAGCTTCACCACCTATGAAATGAACTTTATGGTGCTTTTTTTGAAGTGCTTTAAGCTCTGTGGGTAGGCTTGTTATAAGTTTTCCCAGTTTAAAGAACAGAGATGACAAGGCCAATTTTACCCAATTTATGAAGCAAGGGGCAATAAGCTTCATAAATTCCATAAATGGAATAAACTCCATAAATGGAGTTCCCAGCTCCACCCGCGGCGCC